ATGAGTCAGCACAAATGACTGATGTGAAAGTAATTTTTTCTGTTCAAACAGACCTGGAAGGCTAAGGTGCCTCCTTGGGTTTCTCTTTTCGCTTGGGAAGCTAGCAGGGAGTGTATATTAACAATTGATAAATTAAAAAGAAGGGGTCTCACTTTGGTTAATGCTTGCTACCTATGCAAACAGGCTGAAGAGCCTTGCTGCCACCTTCTGCTTCACTGTCCTGCTACTTATCCACTGTGGTGTGGGGTGTACAGATGCCTAGGGATCAGCTGGGTTATGTCGGGATCAGTAAGGGAGGAGATTCGGGCTTGAGAGAGTTTGAAAAGCTGCTGTTTTTTGGCAGACATTATTCCTCTTAGTATTTTGTGGGTTGTATGGAAAGTTAGGAATTGTAGAGCTTTTGAAGGAATAGAGGATACAAAGGGTTTTGTCGTACTGAAAAATAGATGGCTTAGGACCCTAGAATTTTTGCTTTCAGGTCATCCTCTGATTATGGTCCAAATGTTTAGGAACACTTTCTGTTTGGAGGATTAAGCTGTAAATAATTGTTCATAATCTGCACCATTTGGTGCTTATAGCAATACATATTATACTTTTATTTAAAAAAAAAAAAATTACTTGTTTGTGATGATTACTACTTGAAACATTGTTCCCTCTTGCAACCTCAATGATGGGTATACAAGAGATGGCCAATTTGCTCGCTGCTTTAGACTTATCCTTCCTTGTCCTTGTTAATGAGAATGAAGCTATATGGGATTTGTCTAAGAGTGGTTCCTTTACTGTTGAATCCTGTTACCATCCACTCCTTAATCATGGCGAACCACAGATAGTTGGAAACGAATATGAAAATTTAAGCATCTGCTCATGCTGCCTTCTTGCATGGGAAGCCGTTTTGGTGCCATATCCTCAGCATGCATATCTTGCAAAAAAAGAGGCTTTATCCTTTTCGAAAAGTGGCCTCTCTGAACATTAGGTAATGACTCCATAAACCATCTTCTTTTAGGGTGATGTGATGGGAGAAGTCTACAGGATTTGACTCTCGGTTTAACAGGGATCTTATGGGTAATGAGTGGATCTATTTAGACGGAACTATTGGCTTTGAGATGGGTTCTTTGCCCATAAAGGCAAGGATTGATTCCTTATCCTCATCTCCCATGTCGTTTTCTGGTCCATTTGGAAAGAAAGAAACAGTGGAGTGTTTGAGGCTATTGGACATAATTCAGCTACATTCAGGGATCATTAGGGATATCCTTGATATCTTAGCTTTCCTTGTATAAATTTTGTTTTCTTTTATGATGCATGTGAAGTGCACATTCTTGATATCTTAGCTTGCCTTGTATAAATTTTGTTTTCTTTTATGATGCATGTGAAGTGCACATTCTTGGTACCTTTGTTTATAATATATTCATTTTTACGCTAAAAAAATATTTAATTTACTTAGAACTACTAAGTATAAGCTTACCATTAGTATAAGTTTATTATTTCTTATTTGGTTATGATTCTAGCATTTTTCTATTTAGTTTCTAGACATAAAAGGATATCTTGAAATTGTTTTATTATCTGAGTGCTATTTTGTTGTTAATGAGCATAAGATTGTTATTCATCGGTTATTGAGAAATTGAATTGATTATTGAGACTTGAGATTGTCAGCAAAGCCGTTTGCCATGTCATGTTTCCCCACCAGGCCTTACCATTCCGACTTTTCCTACTGGGCCTATATAGTTCTGATATTTTGCTGCAGACTTTACTGTTTATAAGCTGCTTGCTTGTGAAATGTTTTCTTTCCTTTGACTTGAAAGTCCATTCCAGTGTAACAACAATTATTTCACTGTAAATACCTGTGAAGTGAGTTGGTTGGGGAAACAGCAAGAAGGGTTTTGTGGACATTGGTGGATCTTAAAGGTCAAATTTCTGTACCTTGAAAGTGGGATCTTAAGAAACTGGTTTGTTACTTTTGGCAGCTATTTGAGCATGACTGTTATTAATGTGCGTACAGATTCAGAATATCTAACCAAAGATTGTTTTAATCTTGTGAGTAGCAGATTCGTGTCAACATCTATAGTGTATTATTTGATGTTATATTTGTAGAGTTCCTGCTCATTTAGGAGAAATAATTCTTTTCCTGGTTTTTCCCCTTGCGTTCATACTAAATAGTGTGTGTGCTGAAGCTGATAATTAATTGTAAGATAATAATTTTTCACTATCTTTTTAAAAAATAATCAATTTAATAAATACAAGAAAACGAGCTTTTTATTTTAACCAACCTATACCAAAATATAAGCTATTTTATGATAAAGTAACAAAAAGTGTTTTTTTAATAGATTCTTGGATTATTATATGGTTCTTAACTTTTGTCTTAATTCTACAGTTACAATCTGAAGTATTTTCTTTGCAGATCTTTCTTATTTCACTTAGCACTACCCTCAGCAGAAAAAAAAAATTAAAATACAAGAGCAGTGAGCAGTATTGTGCATGTTAATTGAAGGTCTATCCAAGAAATATTACTTATATACCTTGTTGCATTGATTAGTGAGTTTGTTTGTGCTTTACACTTTACAATACTGCCAATCAAACAGGTCAGCTTCTGAAACAATGAAACTGGAGATCCTTTTCTGAAACAATGTTTTCTTTCCTATCTATTTCTTCTTCCTTTCATTAGATCGAAGAACTTATGCTTCCACTTCTAAAAGTTGATTATTTATTCCAAGATATCATTCCCCATAAAACACAACTAAATTGTGCAGTTGCACAAAATAATTCAATAGACTGATTGAACAAAATCGAAGAGCACCTAGACTAATACCCAGGGCATTAATGTCCATTATTTCAAATTTACACACTGAGATGATTGGTTCACCTCACAGGAATTCAAATAATCTCATACCAAATCTAATATGTTTTGCTATTGTATTTTATCTAGCAGCGGAAGTTTGAGAGCTCACTGGTAGAAGTTGATTGTTCTGAATGTGTCAAATTTGTTGCTGGCTGTAATTGCCTGATGCTCATCTATGCAGTTAATACAGTACTTGGCTAGTGCAGTTGTAGTCTGTTTCAGGAATTGAAAGTTGTTAGGATTGTCAAATAATGTGCTGGTTCCTTATAAACATTTTTATAACTTTTGAGCATTACAAAGTTGAAATTTACCCCAGCTTCATTGGTTGTGGTGGTGTTTCATTTTTATGGGGCTGGGGCTGACTTAATTGGAGATGAACAGGAGCATGCATGTCATATCTGTTGCCGAGAGTGTATGGAGAGTAGGCGCCTTTGTTTGCTTCGTTCACATTAGTTGTTGCATAAACCTGAGGCCCAAAGATTCAGTTAGGTATAACTCATAATATAAATCTGTGATCTAAACCTATAAGGCGAGTTCCACAGGACATGTTAGCTAGTATCATCTTATGTTTGGATTCTGGTGCATTACTTTTTGATGTATGAAAAAAATGTTGCCCTTGAGTTTCTTTAGCTGAGTACCTTTTTTTTTAGTTCAGTATTCTCTTGACGGATGAGAGCTACCTTCTTATACAGCTCTAGGTTCTCTTGATGAATGCGATATCCCTGCAATATATTAAACAAAGCTGGTTATTTTATGGATGTTATCCTCGAAAACAGAATCTATTTGCAGCAAGTAATGCTAGAAAACCTTCTGGTTTAGTTCTTTGATTTCCTCAGTTAGAATTTGGTCCTGCAGCAAAAAATAAACTGCATCAAGGAACCATTCGCATGCTGTATATCAGGATAATCTTGAACGACTTGAATTGCAAGGATGGGATTGTAAAGGTGTATGCTACCTTCTTCATGCGAACACCCTTCAAACTCATCTCCAATTGGTTTTCCAGATTTTGTAGATCTTTAATGCTCAGACCCGAAAGTTCTTCTCCCATCAATTGCCTTTGTACATTAAAATGAAAGTACTGATTATGCTATCAAGCATTTCATGTCTAACCATATTTTTCCTATATTAGGTCATGTTATATGCTTTTGCACTGGGAAAGGCATTGTTGATTTCATTTGTGTTTACCTGCTGATCTGTCAAGTTGGTAAAACTATTGGTTTATTTATCATATGACAGTGCAGCTCCTGCAATTAAGTACTCAGAGATAGCTAACAGGCCATTCATAACCTTGTACAGTATAAAAACTTTGTATAATTGGATGTAATATGTGAATTTTGCAGGTTAAATGGAAAATTTGGTATAATAAATTTAAGTTTTCTTATCATTGTTTGTAATCTATAAAGGGGAAGAAATGACAGAAGGGAGGGGATGCTATGGAGAACACTGTTAAGAAGATCTTTTTGTGGTTTAAAGCAAGTTTTTCATGTGAGTTTGTTACAAAGACTGTTGAGTAGCCAGAATTTGTGCTGATTTAATAGAAATGACAACAAATTGAGGTTGAGATAATACAAGAGGTAGCAGTCAGGTAGGAAGTGAAGAATTTCCGTGGATTAAGTTTTGATCATTGAGATTAATCTTCTTTTAATCTAGTTGGATAACATGCTAACATTAATGGATGCTACCTTGTGATGATTCCTATAATATGTAGTTAGGCAGCTTAGTAGGGTGTAATATATTGGAGTACCCTCTTATTTAAGAGGTGCTGCTGGGAGTATCCTCCTATCTCTTCTTTCTGGATCCTGTTATAGGAAAGGGTTTCAACATTTACAGGGTTGGAAATGGTTTTTTTTTTTTGAAATATAAAGTGGTAATCGGTTTTATTTTCTTCTTCTTCTTCTTCTTTTTTTGTTGGGGGGGGTGTTGTGGTGAGGGTGGTTCCACTAATATATTTGGGAAGATCATGAGAGACTTTTGGGCTATTGTAGGTGATGATGCTGGGGATCATCTACTTAAACAGGAAGTAAGTTGTCTTCCTAGTAAGTAGGGAGATTAGGTGTTGGGATCTAGTACCCAAGCACCTTTCGTTGATGATCCCTGTTGGAACTTGTTGGACTTGGTTCCTGTTGGAATTTGGTACAGTGTGCCCTAGATACTGAAGATTAAGTTTGGACTGCACCGAAACAATTGGGTTAACCAAGCTGGGAGATCTACTACCTAAAGGAGCCTTTGAAAATCTATTGCACAGGTATATGATTCTTTATGTCCTTTACTTAGGTTGAGGATTGGGGATGGAATTCATTTCCTTGGGAAGATCATAGATGGGGGAAGAACCCCTCATTTTGAGATTTCCTCGCCTTTATATGCTTTCCACAACACATAATGTCCCTATCACTGCCTTGAATCACCTTGATGAGCACATTTTTTGGAACCTTTTTCTTTTCGAAATCCCCACAGTTCTGAATCATTGGAATCGATGTCTTTGATTAGTTAGTTGGATTCTTTTCTTCCCAGTTCTGCTCCTAATACAAAGTATGGTCCATTGACTCTTTGGAAGGCTTATAGTTGGAAATAATTTTTTTGGAGCTTACTTCCCATAGTTCTGCCAGCGGAATTTGGACCTTTTGCTCTCTTATTGAGAATCAAAGTCCCCTCTGAAGTTAGATTCTTCTTGTGGTTATCACTACTTACAAAGGTCAACACTAATGACTTGTTTCTCCATTGTTGCATGGCCTGGAGGATCTAGACCAGATTCTTTACTTTTTTTTTTTTTTTGTGTTTTTTGAGTATGTACTCCCAACTTGAGGGTCTATATCTCCAACTCAATATGTGGGTTTTGAATGGAATAAGAATTGAAAGATTATTTGAAGATGGATTATATTTACTGGGTCCTTTGGGTTGAGAGAAATGCAAGAACTTTTAAACAAAGAGAATTGTTGATCTTTGGGCTAAAGGTCAAGTTTTCTTTAGAAAGAGTTCTTTATCCACTTCAAAAATGGATCGGATAGCTATCATGTGTCTGCATTTACTTTGTACCTTCTGTTTCTTTAGTGTTTTTTCTTTAGGACAGCTTGTTTATCTTTAGTTTGTTTACTTTCCATCCCTTCCATCGATATTTTCATTTTCATTGGTAAATTATTCTATTATATGTTCCAGAACCACTCATATCAGTTTCAGCTGCTGGTGATTCTACCTGTGGCATTCTTGCAAGTATTGGAGTTGCTGCCGCAAGCTTGCTGCCTCCCTTTGCCAAAACTAGAAAGCACAAATCAGGTACCAAATGAGAAAGCATTACTACTGAGTCTGCAAATTTAAATGAGATAATGTGCTGTTATGGTAGTTTTCTTACAGAAAGAATATGCATGAAAAGAATAATGCTCTCAATGATCTTGAACTTGATTTCATGTGCAAAATGTTACAATCCTTCTGCGAATGCCATTGAGGATGCTACCGATATTATTTGAAGTACTATTGATAATATTTCATCGCATTTTTTAAGAATATTAATGCTTGTTAAAATTAAGTGTACAAGAAGTTTAATTTGAAAGTTCAGTTATCTTGATTTTCATCTAGATTTTAATAAACATGGAATATCCTCTTCATTGTCAAAATGAAAGGTTTCGATCCTCCCTTTTTCCTTCTCTAGAAAGAAAGGACGAGTAAATGGACTTTTTTTTGAACCACATATTCTCCTAATTTCTTCCATTTTTGAGGTGTGGTATAAGGAGATGATAGAATTCCTTCCCACATAGGATATGCAGATTATGAGGTAAAAAACTAAAGATATAAGCCAGCGAATTTCATCATTTGCACCAATGCACTATAATAGAGTAGAGGTCTTTATAAACTAGGATAGAAATCTTCTACTGCAATTTGACTGGTAGCAATCCAGTCTGGCTCATTTCATGAATAAAATGTGATGGATTAACCTGCCAACAGAACCACATCTTTCCTACGAAGACCTTGTTCGGTGTGAGTACAAAAATTTGTCTACTTGGGGGATTTAGTTAACCTAGCTAGTACACCAGATATCACGCCTAAGGAAAAGTGTTTAGAGTTTAAGAATCAGAAAAGAATAAATAGGAGTCACACACAGGTGGAGAGTTTTGAAAACAATGAAAATTTACTAGGTATTGCACCTAGGATCTCTTAAGCATCAACACGAAGTGAGATTTTATGGAATCGCAAAATTACAAGTGTTGGGAAAATTCTCTGAATATTTTGGATTGACTAATGTATCTCAAAGAGAGATTAGAAAGGTGTTTATTGGGCTTTACTTTACTCCTAATCTAATGATGACTAGATATCTCTAAAAGAACTTAAGGCATAATCTAATAATTTTTTTTAAAAACAATTTATATTAAGGCTTCAATTTTTTTTTTCTATATTGACATAGGAGCTTAAATAGTTTAGCAAACAGTAGATAATGGTCGGGAACTGCATTCATCTTAGTATCAAGAAAAAAAAATTTCAGAAAGCAGGGAAACTGTCATGAGATTGTGAGTAGGGCTCAGAATAAAAAGGGGCTTAACACGAGAAATTGCAATGTAAAAAAGAAACAGTTGGGCTTAGAGTGAAACAAATTAAATATTTATAGAAACTTTGAAATAAAGAATTATACTCACTAGGGCAAAAAGGGCATATCTAAACCAAGAAATATACCTACCATGAAAGATGAAATAATGCTAAATTAATTAAGTGAAGTACTGGAGGTAATATTTAAAGAGAAGTCAGGATGACAATAAAATATTTCAAAATGACATTCACATGCTCAACTTAACAAGGTTTCTCCTAGAGTATTAGCGGAAGCTAAGAAAATAAATTTTAGAAAAACGAAATATCAAGTCGGCAAGCTACAGGGAATTCAATCAATATAAATTTAGTATAATATTTTGGGAAAAGAAAGCCTGAGCAAATACAAAAGGGAGTGATTTCTTACTTTATCGAATAGGTAAATCCCAAGTTTTTCAATCATAACATAATTGAAGGAATTTTAAGAGAACTGGATCAAATCAGAAGAAATATAAAAATATACTACACTAACGAGTCACGACACTTTGTAAAGATGTAATAAATTGTATAAACCGTAATTCTAAGAGAAAATTCCAATAATAACAAATTAGAAAACATAATAAGACAATCTGACCAAATCAAGGGATAGAATGAATGTTACTGCTTAACAGAGAACTATAACTAGTATTATTCCGCACAGTAAATAACGAACCAAGAAAAGGTAACATGAGTCTAAGAGGAAAAGGTCATGAGTCATATAAGCCTGTGGAATCTGTTTCACTACCTATCACGGAGGGAATTCAACAATCGTGTTGGGTGAATCCTATTGCATGGATGTATGTGATGTGTGCCCTTAAGTAAATTGAGGAGAATATTCTGTTAGTGGCCACCTTGGCGAATGTATTGCCGTGACATTTCGTTGTCAATTTTTGTTAGTGGCTACCTTGGCGAATGTATAGTCATGGCACACTGTACTTTCGTTTTCTGTGAAGCATCTATGTTAGCAGTGGGGATCCCTCTGTCCTCCCCGATAGTGTTTTGAAAGCAGTATCGTACAATGAATTGTCAGTGTCTATAATTTGTGTTCAATTCGTAAGTGTTCTGCAATTCTATAATTATTCAGTGATCCAATAAACATTCAGTAATTCCATAAGTGTTTAGTGATTTTCGTAAAGCGTGCAGTGGTTCCTTAAAGCATTTAGTGCCAGTCCAAAGTTTGGGTTATATGAAATTAAGAAATTCTGAAAACCCCTAAAAGAAATTGGGAAAGTAAATTTTGGAATTAAAAACAATTTTTAGATCACCGAGAACATAAACGGGAGGAAACTTTAAATAACTTAGAGAATACACCATGGAATTTAATGATTAGAAGATTAATTACGAAGTTAAATGAAAATTTGAGAGAATTTAGCTACAAAAAATTTTAGGAATAACATTTTGGAATAAACTAGATGATTAACAAAAGAATCATAACCGTAATGAACAAATAAAGTGGGTAGCTTTATATGAAAAATTTAGGACATGTCAATTCTAAAGTTTTTACTTGAGTAACTTAAGTATTTTCTCCTTCGAAAATTTTGTTTTCAGTAAACTTAATGTCTTCAGTTGAATGTTTCTTTTTACATCTATGGTTGAATTACTATTTCTTTCTTATGAGTCCGTGAAATTTACCCGATTCACACTTTCATTTCAAATCAGGATAATCTGGAGCAGTCCTAGGACCAGTAAGGGGTAATGAAAAAAATTATTATTTTGAGTATTTGTGGGAATAATACCGTGAGGTTAATTAAATTTTCGAACCTTAATTTAATATAAAATTTGTTTTGTAAAGTCAATGCCTCATATATTTTGTCTAACAATACTTTATATCATTTCAAGAGATGAAAAATGACGAATTAATCTGCTGCATCATTGTAATTAAACTATAAATTATCTATGGGATTATGTGTAATGATGTTTGTAGTTCTAATGGAGTACGGAATGTTATAGATGGTATCAGAATACACATTTCTAGGATCATCCTTTATACACGAAGCTCAGAAATCTAAATAAGTTAAAAATAAATTTTCAACTAACGAAAAGGGGGTTATTTTTGAAATGTAGGAAACCCGGAATGGGAAGAGGAAGCGGAAAAGGACACCATCCAGGGGGCTGCTCACCAGCACAACGGGGTCCCAACCAAGAAGATTTCAACAGACTCTTTAGGGTTATCAAAGGTCTGGTAGCCGCAGTACGAGAGAGGAGCATTCCGATCCTCTTGCCACCACCACGCCAACATTGTACACGTTGGTGTTAACGCCAACGACATAGAGAAGTTCAAAAGATTGGGTCCCCCAGCATTCGCAGGCGGGTCAGATCCAATGGTAGCCGAGCAGTGGATCAAGCAGATCAAGAAGTTCTTTGACATGATGGAGGTGACCACAGAGCAGAAGGTGCAGTTGGCTGCCTTAATGTTAAAGGGAGCAGCTGACTGTTGGTGGAGCCTGAAGAAAGGGGTTCTGACCCCTCCAATCACCTGGGACGTGTTTGTGAAAGCATTCAATGCGGAGTACTTTCCAGACTTCATCAGACAACAGAAGGAGATGAAATTTATAGAGCTTAAGCAGGGGAATCTCCCAGTGGCACAGTATGCTAGTCAATTCATAGAGTTGGGGCTGATTCGCGCCCAACATGATGATGAATGAAATGAGGAAGGCCCGGAGATTTGAAAGAGGCCTGAGACCTAATATTTACTATAAGGTGACCTTGTTTACTCTACCCGTATATCAAGTGGTTTTAGAAAAGGCCCAACTTATTGAAGCTCTATACAAAGAGCAGGACGAGAGTTCTAGGGCCTCCATGCCCAACAAGAGACCACTGCCAATGCCCAGCCAACAAGACAGGAAACAAAAGGCAGTACAACTTGCTCCTCCACGACTCCAGCTACAGCGCTAGCTCAGTCTTGCCAACATTGCATCAAGAATCATAGTGGCATGTCTTGCTACCATCTTACCCGCTGCTGTTTCAAATGCGGAAGTATCCAACAAATGATCCCTGACTCCCCAGAGGCCAAGGGGCAGTCTAGACCATTGGTGCAAGGCAGAGTGTTCGTCATCTCTACACAGGACGCAGAGACAACTCCAGATGTAATTCAAGGTATATTTTCTATCTCTAAATATTTTGCTAAAGGTTTAGTTGACTCTGGATCCATACATTCATTTTATCATACACATTTGCACCATATTTGAATGTTAGTCCCATCCCTTCGAGTTGTATTTTAGTAGTGTCCACTCATGCAAATAATGCCCTATATGCTGATGTGGTGTATAAATCTTGTGTGGTAGAGATAGATGTTACAATCCTACTTACCATCTTTTCTGCAGTTTGGAAAGAGAGAAATAAAAGAGTCTTTGGGGGGGGAGTAGATAATGATAATGATTTTGATATGGTTAGAAATAGATGATTCTAAACTCTTGAATTTTTATTGTTGGGTCACCCTCCTTATTTTGTGGAGGATTTTAGGGATTTTATTGATATTTTGATAGATATGTAAATATTTTATATACAGATTGACACCTCCTTGGTACCAGTTATCAATGATACTTTATACTTTTATTTAAAAAAAATGTGATCCCAAAAAGATTGACACCTCCTTGGTACTAGTTGTCCTTACCATTTTTATTTCAAAAGGACTGGTTGTCATCCCAAAAAACCAAAAAAAAAAAAGCAACAGAAACCAAAAAGAGAAAGACTGGCCAAACTCA